AAAAAAGCCAGTAAAAAAACCGCAAGATCAACAAGATTGAAAAATATATCGGCGAGAAATATGAATATACTTTCTGTTCTAATATGACATCAATGACTTTCGTGAAATTCACACACGCGATAAAAGACAAACTAACGAGTTGTAGTCCCGGTGAGAAAGCGTATGAAACCTCCAAAAGATATTGACTATGCATGCTAGGACTTCCCGAAGAAATTATTTAAAAAAACTCAACCTGAAGCAGTTATTTTGATTTTTAGTGAGGCCAAAGCCGACGGGTCCAGGGTACTTCAGTCTGGCTGTCACGGAAGGCGACTCCGCGGTGTCCGCTCATCATCCTAAGCAAGACCCCGTGAGGTGGGACGAGTTGTTGTGTAACTACTTGGCTGAAAAAGCTACCACAACGACGTACAGTCCACGACAAAATACAATAAACTTCTACTTCTCTATAGAAAAAGAGATGAGTGGACCACAGAACGGTAAAAAGAACCATTCCAGCAAGTCGTGAAGCGAAGGATCTCATCACCGGTCAACATCAATCGAAGAAAAGTCATATAATCCCATACTATTTAAGATGCCTCTGGTAAATCTAAATTTTCTGATCCAATCGCGTCGTATGATCTCCAAGCGTTCTTTAGGTCTGTTTCTGATCGGAGGTTCACTCAAGTTTCCCAAGAAGATCACTCTCATGCTACCTATCTTTGCCAGCGAAACCTAAAGAGCTGCGTACTTATTCTCATAAGCAGCTCGTTCAAAAGTATACGTTCCCAAAGACGAGGGACAGGGACAAACTGTAGCCATAAATAACGGTAGCCTGCTGTGCCTGTGCCGCTGCCTTGTTGCATGTACCCTACAGACCTGGCAAAGGTGGCAAAGGCAGGGCCCCGCTGCCTTGTTGCCTGTACCCTACAGACCTGGCAAAGGTGGCAAAGACTGGGCCCGCTTGTCGTGTTGCATGTACCCTACAGACCTGGCAAAGATGGCAAGGCTGGCGCCCTCTGGCGTGTTGCGGTGCCCGACAGAGCTGGCAGAGGAGGCAAGGCGGGGCCCACCCCCTTGGCGTGCTGCATGTGGCCAACCCTACAGACCGGGCAAATGTGGCCAGGCTGGACCCCTCTGGCGTGGTCTACCACAGATCCAGCCCCAGGGAGGGGGGGCCCCCGTAAGGGTCAGCGAACGCCCCCCGCGGTCCTACATAAGACGTCACGCCTTCCCCCCTCTGGTATACTACTGAGAGCTTGCCCCATCTTGGTTCGAGCGTCACGCGAAAAGCGTGACGCGTCACGCGAAAGGCGTGACGCTTTTGTTGCATGTACCCTACAGACTTACTAGAGGCAAGGCGTCACGCTTTTCGCATGACGCTCAAGAAAGGGGCCGCAGATGAAGGCCCCGCCTTCGTTCAGATCATGAGGACCTTCAGGCCCTCAGCTGAAGTCTTTCCGATCATGAGGACCCTCAAGGGAGAGCCCTCACTCTGAGAGGGCTCGCAGATGAAGTCCTTCCGATCGTGAGGACCTTCAAGGGAGAGCCCTCAATCTGAATAGAGGGCACTCAGCTGAAGTTTTTCCGATCATGAGGACCCTCAAGGGGGAGCCCTCACTCTGAGAGGGCTCGCAG